CTTGTGTGAAAGGCTTTCAAATACGACAGTCGGTTTCCCATCCTAGCTTCACGTACTCAACTGTCATCTAATTCATTACCGGCCCAGAAACCGAAGTCCTACGATCATAGGAGCATTGTCAGCAATCTCGAAATGCTGCCCAAGGTTATTGTGGGGTCTGCAAATGATCTTCCATAGTAACACATTTCTGTCTACATCTCTGAAATGAGGTATTATGATTATTTATATTATTTACATTATTCAAACTATTATCCTCATCTTCATTACCATATTTACAATGTAATAATCGTTGTAACGCTGAGGCCTTCTTCAGGTGATTGGATCTCTGAAATGAGGTTTATGATTATTTATATATTTACATCATTCAGACTATTATCCCATCTTCTTCAATATTCACAGCCGTTGTCGCTCCGGCCTTCTTCAGGTGATTGGATCTCTGAAATGAGGTATTATGATTATTTATATTATTTACATCATTCAGACTATTATCCTCATCTTCATTACCATATTCACAATGTTTCGGTCGTTGTACGCTCCGGCCTTCTTCAGGTGATTGGATCTCTGAAATGAGGTATTATGATTATTTATATTATTTACATTATTCAGACTATTATCCTCATCTTCATTGGCATATTCACAACGTTTTGGCCGTCGTACGCTCCGGCCTTGTTCAGGTGATTGAAATTCCGAACCGAACCCTTTATCTCGTCCACCAGGGTAGATTGTTCTAGTTCCACGTGCTATGCCTCTTCCAAATGTCTCAGTTATTTCATTTTAACTCAACTCTGTAAGTTTTTTTTTCGTTCACCACTGCTGTAGCCTGGTATTGAACTCCCAATTTGGGTCTAGTCACTGGATTTAACCAACGTCTTTATCCACTGGGCCAAAGAGTTGTGAGTTCAATACCAGCCTATAGCAGTAGTGAGCCAAAACACTTAGCCCTCCTGCACATAGAATGACACACGGAACTTTTAAATAGCGCAGAAATAGTATATATTTCCGTGTACATCTATGTACATATGGATGTGGACACGTGTGTTTGCGCATGCGCGTGTATGTGCGCGTGCGCAGATCTCGTAAAAAAGATGACTTTATTTTGTTTTTTTTTTGTTTAAACACTTCACTAATATTGTAGCGGTTTTCACATTAGAGTCTTTAAATCTATTTTTAGAGTCTTCTAGAAACAAAGAAAATAATACTGAACTGTTACGTGAAATCAGTCACCCTATATGGCAGTGAATGCGGGACAGTTTCCTCGAAGTTTCGTCCGGGGAGGAAGACAGGGCCTGAACCAGTCTAGGCGGGTTCAAAGGCTATATTTTCGGCCGAGCCTACGGGCTCGGAGATACCCACATTAAACCGGCCTTGTGCTACATTCATTCCTCGTGGGTGGATCGATAAATACTCAGTTTCCTCAAAGATGAAGAAGAGACTTGAAGCAACAGAAATGGCTTTCTACAGAAGGATAGCATGCACCGAAAATATGAGCAACGACGAAATTTTAAGGAAAATGGAGACAAAAAGGACATTTATACTTAACATCAGAAAGAAATAATTGAAATTTCAAGGGCACATAATGAGGAAAGAGGGCTTGGAAAATCTGATACTCACAGGACAAATTTCAGGCAAGAAAACAACGCAACACCTTGCCTAGTGACCTTGAGTAAATGGGTGGCGGAATAGGGTTTGGGCGAGGTAAGAAAAAGACAAAATTTATTGAGAGCCGAGGAAGGACAGGAACTCGTGGAGAGACATGAACATAAACGTTTTGAGGAGACACGTGACATAAAGTGGAAGGCTTGGCACTAACAGCATTAAAATTTAAAAATATATATAAACAGGAGTTTCTTTATTTTTTCCTGGTCTGTTCATATCTATCTATCTATCTATCTTTTTCAGTCTGTTCATATCTATCTATGTATCTATCTATCTATCTATCTTTTTTAGTCTATTCATATCTATCTATCTATCTATCTATCTATCTATCTTTTTCAGCCTGTTCATATCTATCTATCTATCTATCTATCTATCTATCTATCTATCTATCTATCTATTCATATCTATCTTTTTCAGTCTGTCCATATCTATCTATCTATTTTTTTCAGTTTGTTCATATCTATCTATCTATCTATCTATCTATCTATCTATCTTTTTCAGCCTGTTCAAATCTATCTATCTATCTATCTATCTATCTATCTATCTATCTATCTATTTTTCTCAGTCTGTACATATCTATATATCTATCTACCTATCTATCTTAGTCTGTTCATATCTATCTATCATATTTCTCAGTCTGTTAATAATATCTATCTATCTATCTATCTATCTATCTATCTATCTATCTATCTCAGTCTGTTCATATCTATCTATCTATCTATCTATCTATCTATCTATCTATGTATGTTGGAACATTTGAATGGATATTACAGCCACAATGAGATTAATTAGGTCAAGATTTCAAAGAAATCAGGTGGATGTGAATATGACCGCCGCGTGTTCGAGCCTCATTAGTGCCACCAAAGTTTTAGGGCGGGCTATTTCTTTTTTTTTTTTTTTATATCTTTCAAGTTGTATCCATTCAGTGTCTACATGCGTAGAAACTCGCACATCACACACACACATATTCCCCCCTTTTTTCTCTTTACACATAAACACACACAGACATAAATTCGGCCACAATTTTGATCTAAAAAAAAAATAACACCCTCATGAAAAGAGAAAGTAGTTTGCTCTCAAGGAAAATTCTCGTCAGTACCTCTGTCGAATCTTAAATTTAAATCTACGCCCCGTTTTTTTTTTTTTCTTTCTCCTAATCTCACCTTTCCTGAAAAAAAACTACTACTTTCCCAAGTTGATATAAACGACCACAAATATGTTGAAAAATCAAAAGAAAACGGTTTCCATCACCTCATTGTAGAGGACTGTGTGTGTTGTTGAATTGTTTAATGTAAGTATTTATTAACTTATATTATTTTAGTGAGGGTTCAATTTACTTTAAAAAAATTTTGTCAGTGAAATGGCCAGTTTTAGCACGCACTATCAAAAAATAAAAAAGGTTGTTCATACCCGCCCTAGACCAACAATCCGCCGCCGGCAGCATTTATCTTTCGAAATATTCTCCACTACGTCGTTCTGATATTAAATATCGTCTTGCTTGACATTTGTATTTAAAATTCACTCAAAAAAAAAAAAAAAAAAAAAAATGCTCCAAAATTTTATTCCGAACAGATAATAATAATAAAAAAACTTATCTTAGTTGACGCGTTTTATCTTCTGATGGACTTTATAAGGATTTTAATTTTGCATTTTTTATAAACAAAAATGCATTTATAAACAAAAATAAATAATATCGTAAGTTTTTCAAAGTTTTTACATTCAAGAACAATTCAAAAATATTCATCAGGACAACAGAAACGTCATGGTAAATTATGGTAGATTTTAAATGATATAATTTAATGTCTCATGAACAAAAGTGAGTAAATCATTGTTGTTGTTGAATTGTTTGTGTAATGTAATTATTAATTATATTATTTTAGTTAGGGTTCAATTTACGTAAAAATATGAATTTAACTGTTTTGTTTTGATTTTTTAACACTTTTATAATCATGT